GCAAAAACGCATATTGTCGAGAGGCTGTCTGTGTGTTTGTGTTCGGAAGCGAGTGCATTTTGTCACTCACTTTCATCTCAACTACCAGGAAAGCTGGGAGGCTGAAACTTCGAGTATACGTTTCTACCCCGTGTTTCATCCTCCCATTTTAAGTTTTTTCTTCATATGCGCCTGGATCCCGCGTACGCCCCCTCTCACCCCAAAAAAATATGTTGGCGGGAAACGATTTCGCGAACCAGGCAAGGTAGAAAGCTGAAACTCTGCAGGGATATTCTCTATGTACGTGTGAACTAAAGATTTTGAACTCAGCTGTCGAACACCCTAGCTACAGCATCAAGCAGCTCCTCAACCCAGAAACCGTTAGCAATCCGGATCCGAACCGCAATCGTTTATGTAAATCAACATTGGTTAATTTGCCTACATGGATTTTTTGACAAACGACCGCTCGAGCAATACTTCCACTTTTTACTGAATAGGAAACTTGCATTTTTTTCAGAAAATTTGCATTTGTCGTTTTTTCACGAAGTGAGCATTTGCCGAAAAAACGACTGGACTTCATGCAAAAAAACCGGTAAAACAGCTGCTAAAACGGGTAAAACCAGTTTTCTATAGTAAAACAGCTGCTACCCAAGCTCCTAAGGGTGAAAGACCCCTCGCCCTTCCCCCGGGATCCGCCAACGAGTACCCACTCCAGAACAGCCGCGAAATCGCTTCCCAATCCAACTACTGTTCCGGAAAGTGAACCCTGTGGCTGTTCCGAGATGTGGATGTCCCGAATGCGAGGAAACAATGCTGATCGATTATAACAGTGTATTCGCCGCCCAGTGAGATGGGCGAGTATGTACTTCAGAGAGATCAACAGTGGGTTCATCGCCGGGGCCTTTGCCATTCGGAAGGAAGGGTTCGAGAAGAAGCGGCACACTGCGACAGCGGCGGACTTGGGAAGAAAGGGTTCGAGGAGAAGCGGCACATCGCGACAACGGTGAACTTGGGAAGAGGAGTGCCAGACTTGGCAACAGGAGCGTACTTCAGGACTTGGCGACAGCACAAAATCCCAAACCTCCCCTAATATCAAAACTCACAGCTCACAGTTATGATTAAAAACGGAAATTCAACCCCAACCTCGACCACCACGCCGGAAAACGCCACCCAATGATGATGGCGATAACACGGCTCGGCTCAGCTCCGCCCAAGCCATACACACGTTACGCAAAAAATTTTTTCTTCCGACGGCTTGTACGGTTACTCCAGGACGATGGTGGGAGTTTAAATGCGGCTGGTGAAAGTACTGGTGATATGTAGCGGATTTCGTTCGAGGCACGGACAAAATGGCGTAGATTCTTTGTCAGTTGGCTAGGTAACGTGCACTTGGAAGGGAAAGGAGGAGTGGTGATAGACTGAAAGGATGAGGAAACGTGCTCCTGGTTTTTACCGGAGATACTTGGGGTAGGGAAGGGTGAAATACTGCTTGCTTGAACAGTGGTGTTATAGTAGGGATGGAGAGGGACATAATGTGGTACCTCTTCTTTCTTCCCTATTCCCCCTCTATGATAGACGGTACTTCAAAGTTTGATGCAAAAACGCATGGTCGCACCGGCTCGCCTGGTGCGTACCAGCTTGGGTTAAATTTAAATCAGATTCACCACAGTCGTCGTACTGATGAGGTCCAACTATGATAATGGTAAGAAATATATACGACTTAATGGACCGGAACATTTCTTACCACTAAAAATAATTTTCAACACTTTATTAATTTCTTCTTTTCTGCATTAAAATATTTTATTGCTGT